CTCCACGGCACTGTGGAGAGAGGGCAGATTATTAGGACAGTGGCAGGGTGCAGGACACTGTCAGGGTGCAGGACAGTGCCAGGGTGCAGGACAGTGCCAGGGTGCAGGACAGTGCCAGGGTGCAGGACACTGCAGTGTGCAGGACAGTGCCAGGTTGCAGGGTGGCCGTGATCATCCCACCAAAAGAACTAATCCATCACCCAGTGGGTCGACTACACCTGCTAAACATCCCATTGTGGTGCTTGAATCGCTCTACCATCCTACAACGGCCTCGGATGTATTAGATGTTCAGCCGGGATCATATATGAAAAGATGGCACCGATGCGGCCTGATTAATGTGCCCCACGGCTTCGTTGGGCTCGACCCCAGACCCGCCATGTGTCTGGCTACCCCACAATAACAAAGGTCGTGGGCCCTAGTGTTCTGCCCTGGGTTACTCCTTGGAAGTGAATGTCCAGAAAATGGTGTAACATGTATGTGAGGGATAATTAGTTGGAAATAATTATCCCAGGTTGGGTAGTGGACCCCTGCATATACTAGGGTCATTGTTTACGTATATGTTGAATAATCTACAATGAGTGCCATGTAATGTACCACCAGTAATGTTGTGAGTAAGAGCACGGCACGAAATTTATAATAAAAAATACAAAAATAAAAATAAAACAGATAACAATAATAAAACTGAAAACTCTGCAATAATAACAACAATAATAATAATAATAATAATAATAATAAATAATAATACTGTAATAATAAGGAACCATAAAAAAAGATCATTAGTGAGAAACGATATATGATGATGTGTTGTCAATAGTAAGAGAAACAATTGAGACCCTGCAATTGTGTGTAAGTGAGGCAGAAAGTCAGATCATCAACCTGGGACTTGGTCACAATTTTTGTGATGCCATATGGCAGCAGGGTCTACCATTAGACCTGTAGAATAAGAAATATAGCTGGAGTTCAGTTTGAGATTTAAAAATACTACAAAATACAAGATATTACATGTAATATCGGCTCAGAATGAACACTTACACAGCGAAGAAAGGTCGAGAAACTTTATCGGCCTACAGTAGTAGTCCAAAAATCCGGACCGCTTGGGGATTGGGTCGGCCCGGATTTTCGGATTTTCTGGATTCTCAGGCAGTACTTTTAAAATTCAAATTTCAGGAGAAATAAAGAAGAGATGAACAGGTACATTTTGATAGTTTATTCATTAGCAAATATAGCATGCTTCATTTATCTAAACGAGCAGTTTTAAAGATAAAGCTGTGAATTCTAAAATTTTATTATTTGCCTTTTTTATATCATAAATTGTAGACTTTCCAATGTCATATGTTTCCATTAGAACAGTATTGCTCACACCACGTTCTAGTTTCTTAATTATTTCAAGTTTGTCACTCAATTTCAACGTGTTCTTCTTTCTCTTCACACAACGAAGTTTATCTACTTTAGGAGCCATTATTATGGGCTTGTACAGTACTCTGTAAATGAAAAGAGTAGGACTCAAAATTTCATACGTTGTCACAGTTTGATTGCTTGTTTTAAAGTGGCGACTGCGTAGTCACTGTGCAGCTGTGGTGCTCATGCATGCACAAATACACACAAAAGCCAGCTAAATTAAAAAAAAAAAAAAAAAATAAGTTTGAGTTTTCGAAAAGTCCGGATTCTCGGGTGGTCCAGATTTCTGGCATCCGGATTTTTGGGCTTTTACTGTATATCTCAAAATTAACTTTTCCAACACTCGGACTGGAACTTTTCTGCCAATTTTTTACCGATTTCAATTAAACAAACACTGAGTACAGGAAGAACCTTTCCTCAACATAACCCTAGGGTCCAATTTTTTCTATCTTAAGATTCATTTTTGGTTGAATATCTAATCAAGATATTCAGACAATTTTCAACCAAACTTGAATTTTTTTATTCATAAAACCAAAAACAAAAACAAACGTATCGCCCTGGACAATTCCATGGTAATACTAGATCTCTTAGTACTATCAATTTCAAGGCAAAATAGAAAGAAGTAATGGAGAAATTATACCTTAAAAATTTAGACAAATAATAGAAAATGCATAAAGGGTTGAAAATTTTGAAAGGGTAGAAGGGGGTTATGGGGCTAGAATTGATGTACTGTATATATAATCCTTGATTGATGACGGGAATATCATAACAATCGACCCAAATTAAAAGCACCTACACCAAAAACCGGATTATCCTCTCAAGTCACTAATAAAAAGGTTTCACGCAAATTTTCAAAAGGATAAAACATCATACATCTGGACACTGTACTGCCAGTATGTCAAAATAAAACTGGCTAACTGCAGTAAATGAACCCTGATAATACAATGAACCCTGATAACTATACAATGAACCCTGATAACTATACAATGAACCCTGATAACTACACAATGAACCCTGATAACTATACAATAAACCCTGATAACTATACAATGAACCCTGATAACTATACAATGAACCCTGATAATACAATGAACCCTGATAACTATACAATGAACCCTGATAACTATACAATGAACCCTGATAACTACACAATGAACCCTGATAACTATACAATAAACCCTGATAACTATACAATGAACCCTGATAACTATACAGGGAATTTCCATTTCAATTTACAAGAGACCAAAATAAACCTACACATAACTAGTAGCTACACAGCCCTGACCATACTTATAATCACTGTCAACACAGTATACAAGTGTAGAGGGTAAAATTTTCATGTAAGTGTCGACAATTTCCACCAAATTAAAAATAACCTCTGTACGTGCTTAACTTAGATATTTGCTCAACTCTAAAGTGTGCACGTTAAACCAAGGCAATGCACGATGATGTTAACCCAGAGAGCATAGAGCATGTAAACTAAGATGCCTAGTAACATACCTGACATAGAAGCAATAGCAACAAGATTACCTTATACTGTACATTAACTATGACAAGTAGCAGCAGGACAAGTAATTCTTGTTCATAAATCAGTAATGAGACACAATCATTAAAAACCTCAATATATTCAGACTCTGGGTATATTGTGGCCTGTAAGTCAACTTTTGAAGCTCCAGTTTTTGTGTTCAAAACTTGGGGTCACCTTATACCACAGGTCTACCTCCAGCCTCACTTTACCTTACTGGTAGGTCTCAGTCAGTCCAGCACTCGCAAACAAGTTTTACCTCGAAGTTTGACCTCACTAACATTTTTCCAGAAGGGTAACTGTTACTGAACTCAGCCTAAGGTCGGTGTTTACACTAGTCACACCGACACATAAATGTTAACAACAAACAAACATTACTAGGACAATTACTTGTAGTATTTGTTGTTGTTTTGTTTAAAAATACAATTACAGTATATTCATATAATACTACTGGATTTTGTTAACATTTACACAAATGTGTTGTAAACATGACAGATGCCTGTGGGGCAGCTCTGCCAGTATTGCCAAACACTTGTTGAATGTTACTAATTTCATCCCTGAAGTTGTTAAATACATAAAACATCTGGAGAAATACAGGTACATGTAAGACATTATGTAAAAAGAATAATAGTTAACTATGACTGATGAATGCCAATAACTGTCACAAGTGGCATTAAAGTTAGTGAAAATGATAAACTTAACTATGAAATCAACAACTGAACACAACCATCCTCTCTGTTGTCCTCATATCCTACATGTATTTATTTATATGTACTGTACCACAATTATTATCTACATGTATAGGACTGTTTATAGTACATTATATGTACTGTAAAGCAGGCCCTTAAAATTCGTGGGGTTAGGTTCTCAAAATGGCACGAATAACATTTACTGACGGGGGCGGTGCAGGGTTACATTTTTACCTGTGTGTGTAGAGAAATGTATATTCCCTTTATGTGTTTCACCTAAAGACAATTATTTCTTTTCCCTGTGTTGTAATCAACCAGTGTGTTCACTCTCAGTCAATCTTACCTTTTTTGCACTGTCACTATGTTGAAATGCCCTGTAGTATAACCTTCCCCCCCACCTAGTTATTATTTATCATATTTAGATCACGAGAGAGACCTTACGGGACGCCACAAAACTCGCGTGCTCCCAGCACCAGCAGCAAAAATGCCGGCAATTTTAAAACTACCCGCAGACATTTTTGGGTACATCCAGGGTGTCATCCGCAAACAATCGAATGCAGCAAAATAAAAATTTGTGAGTTATCTGGGGATGCAGTACTGTATTAATCTTATTAATTGTCATTACTCACCGAGTGTACAGAGTATCTTATATATTTTTAATCTTGTACGAACTGTATTATTGTGATTTGTTTACACCATTCATGTGCCCTGGTAACATTTGTTTGTAAGAAAACTAACACTAAAAGGTATTTTAACATTTTGAAAATGTTACATTTAGGTAAAACTTGTTTGAGTGCTGTTAAAAAGTATGTTTAGCAAACACTGAGGACATAGTTTTCAAATTGCAGTTTATAGATCGACTTATCTGCCAGGTATGGGCCCACATTAACAATTTATGTTGAAATAATTAAGGTCGTCTTATACGCCGGGCCGACTTATGGGCCGCACTATACGGTAAGTTAATGCAAATAACATGGGATGATTAGTTGCCTCCTCTTGAATTGCAGTAAGACATAACAAGTCATATATACAGTGACAATTTATTATGAGGGACATAAAATTAAGAAAATAATAAATATGACTTATCTTGAGGGGACATGTTCTTCTGGCACCGTGGGCTGGACACTCATAACAGACTATAAACATGGCATTCCCCGAGCTAGGACCTTGTTCAAAAGCCAGAACAATGTTGATTCTATAGGTTAACGACCATACAAAACAACATATCCCACACACAACAAATATAAATTCTGTAAATAAAGTTGTTAAACAATATTATGTAAGAAATGGCATTTTAGTTACAACCCTGACCATAAAAGTCTTATCCCATACATAAATAATATAAATACTACAGTAGTTGTACTGTAAATAAAGTCATGCTAAACAATAATTAATGTGAAAAAATACTTTAATTAGATATTTCTGTGGTATACTACGTACAGTACCGTATTGGGACCCCATTCTTAAGTGCAGGTGTGTGTAACTCAAGGACTGCCTATAGTAACAACAAAAAGACAACTCAACAAAGTTTTCTTATACAAAATGGTGATTATGTTGGGAGACTTAACACTACCAAAATAATAACTCATAACACAGTCCTCGGAGCCTACCTACCCAACTGACCAGCACCGTTTTGTCCACAATTGGTCTGCAACACTGAAATGAAACAATTACTTCCATGTACAGTGTAAACATATAGAACATGTCATCCAAAATTATAGTTTTATATTACATTATTTCTAAGATTCATTAGAGTATTTTAATGATTATTCCACATCTTCTATAGTTTATATAAAAACAATGCCATCTGCCAGTTATCCCCCACACTTAATGTTAAGGTTTTCATCCCCACCATTAAACAACCTGTAATTCTTTTAAATGTTCAGTGCGATATTGTCCAATTAAAAAAAAATTCCACTGTTGCTGTTATAAGAATTTGCTATATATTCCTTGTTAATACTATAGGTTAAATATATGGCTAAATTTACACTTTTGTCTGAGGAGGAGCAGTCAGATGTCTTCACCTACAGATAAACCGACGCTAGAAGTCGAGTGACGGCAGCTGTACTGTCATACTCTACTGGAATGTATCACGACTAGACGTGGGTTAAGGTTTCCCAGTTGTTGACAATCAAATCACTGAGAAATACCACAATAATATCATTATTGTACAGTACATACCTTATTGTGCTGTCAGACCAAACACCAGGGGATTACACTGTCTTTAAGTCTCTGAAGATCCACTGTTTTGGGAGTTATGTGTCAGCACCTGTATAAAAGATTATATCTCATATATGGTGCATTGTATTATATTACCAGTAGTTCCTTATTTCACACAATACATAGTTCTCTTTGGTCATGCTGTTTGACTGCAGTTAACCTACTCTAACTCCCACCAGATAGCATTAAGGATGTTTAATTGTCAGGTGAAATAAGCAAAGGTGTTTAATCGTTGGTCAGGTGAAACAAGCTAGGATGTGAATCATTTAGATCTCTAGATATTTTACACCAACAACTTCAATCACACATACAAATTATTAAACCTCCATCCAGCAGCCTATATGGGTAGACAAGTCCACTACAATGGGGATGTCTGATGTGAAACCCCCATCTAATGAACATCCCCTTCCATATGTAGTCCATTAGATAAAGGTTACACTGTACTTATAAAGCCAAGAAGGTTACTCACCAAGTGAGGGTCTGGGATGCCTCTCAAAAGGCAGCGGCAGATGCAACCAATCCGTCGCCTCCGTCTTTCAATAAAACAGTACAATCAGCAGGCAAGACATCTTTCCCTTCTGTAGCTATTCCTCTATGTTGGCTTCATGACTGGCCAGGACTTCCTTAATGTTTCGCTGTGGACTGTATTGTTCTCTCGTACTGAATCCATGGAGAAAAAGAAAAAAGGAAGCTAATATTACATTTAACAAAACAAGAATTTTGCTCCATTACCTATAAATATAAAAAGTGCAGCGTCAATACAAAAGCTAATTATTCTTGTTCCTTGTCCTGAAAGGTTTTCAAGGAAGATACCCATTTGTACAGCGAGGGATGCCTGTATTATCTACAATTAAATCTCCAGACTCAACACTAAGATGGCAGTCATCACTAAACAACAAAACTTTATAATTAACACTACAGTAATAGGTAGGCCATGTACATTAAGGAAGAGTAAAGGTCTTAGGGGACTTAACCTGAACAATAACTAGTGTGACAGATTTGAAGTAGTAAGTAAAACAGAATATCTGGCACAAATGAAGCATTTAGGATAAAACACAAATGGTAATTGTGTTAAGGTATGAAGTCCAAGGAAAACAACTTGAAAGAATCAGGGGATTTTTCAACCAGACAGCAGAAGCCTTAGCCAGTGTTTCTTAATGAACTTTATACTCTGACTGACAATAGCCCAGACAAGCTTGATGCACAAGCTTAGTGTAATAGTGCAGCTGCTTTAAGTGGAGTTCATACACGTGTTCAGGCATTTTATTCATTGCCATGCACACCAACATTTGCAACAGGCAAGGCAGTACTGCATGAAGTGAAAGTTACAGGGTCTCAGGTGTCTCCCTTACTATTGACAACAACATAAATAACTTTTCTCACTCTTGATCTGTTCTATTCTTTTTATTATTTTTTTTATTCTATTCTTTTATTCTCCTATATCAGTTGACAGTAATATTGAACCAGGCCTCCTGGGATGGGTCCCACTGGTCGGGAAGGTTGTGGACCCAAAGGCCAACCTGATCATCATCAAACTACTGGGGCCTCAACTGATGTCACCGCGGTTGCTGGAGGATCAGCTTTTTTCACACTTCATTTTTCCAACATTCTCGGCCCGAGATCCAATTTTCCTTCTGTGGAGCACCATCAATTAACCTCCTCTCCCGACCTCTAACTACTATCTGAACTTCAACTGACCAAAGCAGCTTCACCCAAACTACAACCTTTATACTTCCTTCCGTTCTAAGGGAGGTGTATGCGCCTACTGCAACACACATACGCCTATAGCTCGACTCACGGATCTTGAATCTTCCCTTTATGATGTCATCTGGCCCAAAATATCTCTGCCAACTACAGGTCCACAAACCCTTACCTGAAACCCTTGGTGTCATGGTCACGTTGACTGCTAGTCTGTTTTAACACTAATGATTCTTATTATACTCCACGAACGCAAAACATGAGTGGGTTAGCTATTCCTAAGAGAGACGTGTTTTTCCCCATGACGTTTATACTCACGATCCCTCCCAGTAAGTCCCGCCTTGTGAAGACAGTTGTCAATGCGTTTTTTATTCCAATTTTTCCTGGCAAGCTCAATCTTGGATTAGTTTGTGTTAATCAACTCCAGTAATTCGCCAGACCTTTGTCAACTGAGGGCCATCCTTGAATGAGTGACAGTTGTTTGTTTGTGATTTCTGTCATTGAGTGAGTAGCAATCGCTGGCAACTCGGGTATATAACCACGGGCGCGAGGAAGAGACGTCCTCCATAACGCGTCCTCTCCCGTTGTCTCCAGGTATGTAGCTGTGTTCTCCCGCCGATATAACCATTCAGTTTGATTTAGTCAATTGTAGTGAATTATCAGTGTTCAAGTTGTGACTGTGATTGTCATTCACCCAGTGTAAGAAGTAATATAAAGTAAATGTAGTCTGACGTTGCCAGACGAAGGATTTGTTGTGATCGAGTTGTCCATGCTTCCCTCCATAATGCGTCCTCTCCCATTGTCCCCAGGTACAGGGGGCGGGGGCTTAATTGAACACTAATATAGGAGTATTTTAACCGAAAACTACTGATAAAACGAGTAACATCTCTTGAACATTGGAAGGTTAGGTAAAGTCTCTTGTTTTCGTCATGTATTTTATCCTATTTTACATTGAAATACATCACGTTTCAGCAAAACTACTTTTTATTTCTGAGAATATATTCATTCAGGCACAGTTTAGGTAAAATATACATGTGCTGTAACATTTTTTTTTAATTGAAAACGATTCGAAAAACACGTACCAAGAAATAACGTTGGAGAAGTTGGGGGAGATAACCAGGATGATTGAGGCACTGAAAAACCTGACCTATATTATGGACCCCTCCATGGTGCGTGCCCTGAAATTCAAGCGAGGGATGGATGATGCTTTTGTTCCATACAAAAACATCATGGAAGACATGAAAAGAAAGAGACGACAACTCCCCATCACCATGTTCTTTGATCACCGAAGGAGAGATTCAACACCATCAATCGCTGGCGGCAGTGAGGAAGCAGCTGAATCCACGTCGCCCCCACTTCACCACCTGTTATGGAATTGAGTGACGATGAGCCCGATGACCCCCGCCCTGTCGCCGAGGAGAGGTACGGTACAGTAAAGTGAAATTCTTATCTCTTTTTTTTAATAGCTTTTCTTGCCATGTTTATTGTTTGTAAAAATGCACAGCACAGTACAGTTCAGTACAAGTACTGTACATAGGAAGTGGAGGTGCAGTTATTCACAAAACATTTGTGTTTGTTGTCGGCAGTAGTGACGGGGAGGAGGTAGAGGTGGAGGAGGGAGCGGAGGGAGCGAGTTGGGAGGAGTGGTGAGGTGACCTTGGACGCAGGAGCAGGGACGAGTGGAGATGCCAGCCAGTACATTACGGGTGTATTAATTGTTTTGATAGCTATTTTTGCATTTTAATATTAAATACTGTACATTACATTTCAACAAAACTACCATATATTTCTGAGAACAAAGAAATGTAATATTTTTGCTGAAATGATGTACGTATTACAGTGGAAAGTGGGATAAAATTGTGACGCAAGCAATGACTCACTCTCTTTCGTTCAAAAGATGTTGCCGTAATCGC